TATATCTGTGTAATTTGTATGATAGAAAAGTATTAACAATTATACTGAATAGTTGCACCATAATTCAAGACATGTCCTACTATTTGTCTAGGTGAATTACTTTGAAAAAAGTCATTTGCATCGATTGGATTAGACAGATATTTCTTAGTATCTAAACAAAATCTGCAGGAATTTATGACCAATAAGATAATGTCCCCATGTCTTGCAAAACACTGTACCTAGGGATGGGACAATACTTTTTTATCGTGATTAAAAGGGGTGGACAATAATTGTTTATGGGCCATTAATCATTGTAATAATCGCTAACAAAGATAATTGCTATCATATCACCAGAATGTGCAGAGAAAAGTTACTTATCCCCAGTCAAATGCAGCCCTCAGACCCATTTTTGCTGGCCCTCAGTCCTTCTGCTGATTTGGCCCAACTGATCATAAGCAGAACTTCTAATTCTACCACTATAACCTCAATAGCATCACACTGCATAGTGATACATTCCTAAAATTACTGTTCTAGGCCTTATTAAAGATACAGGGGCTCAGTTAAAGTTGTGTAAAATGCGCTTATGTGAAGGATTCACTGTAATTGAGCACCAGTCTGTGGCTCTCTGCTTCAAATATGTTTCTATATGCAGCTCTCAGTGAGAAAAGTTTGGACACCAGTGATCTAGGTCATTGTTTTCTCTTCTAATAAAGTTCAAAATATTATCATGATATCATCTTTAATTGCAAATAATTTGTCAATGATAATCAAGATGCCAAATTTCAATATTGTCCCATGTCCCACATATATCTTCCCAATATTGCATAGATGCTTTTTGTTCAGGCTATTCTTCTGACAGTAGACCTCCTCATTGCATAGCCCGGTGTGATTCCAGAGACCTTTTTTTACTCCACATTCCTGAGCTCTTCCTGTGGGTTGCGGTGCTCGGCGTTCCTCCTGCTTCACCTTGCTCCTTTAAGTGCGTCTGCGGCGTCTGGGATGATGCTGCCTCGTGCATCTGAGCAGAAATAGCAGTGTGACTCATTGAGTGGCCAGCAGCGCCAACCAGCTCACATGGGGAGATGAGTTTTCCGCCCACCATCGTTTTCTGTTGGCTACTTTTGATTACTAAGCGATATGTAGCCAGGTCGTGTTTGCTTTCTGTACGAGTGTTTGTTGTCGCCAAGGTGATGTTGGGCCTCCCTACTTAGGACTTTTCTGAACGCATTGTGAGTTTCTGTAAACCATGTGAGTGTGGAGTCATAAACCAGTGTTAAGTACCTGAGAATTCATGAGTACTTTACTTTTCCAAGCTAACATATACTTTACAAAGCAGTGCTGTTTTATACTAACACATTGTGAATAATGTAGCTATGTGAGATACCTAGCTTTATTTGCGGTTTTAAATAGGTTTTTCGTGCCTGTTTTCTTCATCATCATTAAAATCTACAGTATCCTAGTTCGGCGAATAAGACATACCACTTGACAGTTTTCTGGCAAGATACTGTGACAATAGATGACATGGATTAGCAATCTAAAGTGGTGTGTGTTACCTGCACGCTTAAACTGGCACTCAGCCTGACTGATATAAAATACAGTGGTCTCGTATTACCTGTCAGCGCTGTGGTCTACAGGATATGATCTGAAAACCTTCACTCATGATAAGTGTTCACTAACGGTCTTACTAATAGAGGAAAGGGGTGATTCTGTGTAATTTTATATAATGCATATATTTGGTTTATCATATATGACCAGTAATTTATTAAAGGACACATCTAGCTAGAATCTTTGGCCACAAAAATCAGTGCAGCTCAAAAAAGACAAGCTCAAAAACAGTCCAAGTTGTAGTTTTAAGTCTTTTTGTAGTTTCTGTAGTACATGTATTTACTTCATTGAATCCTTACATATTGTATTGATCCATAAGGGAAATTATTTGAACATAGCTCACAAATGACAATATATTATAATAAATATAATAAAGAGCAAAAATATTAGTAGTAATAGTAAAACCAAGATAAGTAGCAAAAAATAGCAACAGACTGGTGTCAGTAAGGCATAAGTGTATGCATACAAGTAAAAATTAAATATAGAAATATAGATGTACAAATATATCTTAGTTATATAAATACATTATTTCTGTGTTTATTCTTTTATTTATTTGTTTTCATTAATCCTACAGTAGCACAGTGGTCTCCTGTGCACACACGCCAGACACTACTCTGCTGTTTACTTACTTCCTCTCCATCTGGTTTATCTGTTAAGGAATGTGAAGAAGGAAGTTTGCAATCTGCTGTTTGAAGTCTGTTTAGGAAATGTGACACGTGCCAGGCATGTTTTACTCATTCACTACATGCAGTCATATTTCATGTACATATCCAACATATTGTCCACTTAGGGTGACAGTAGCTCAGTTGGTGATTTGCTTGTTCACTGATCTGAAGGTTGGCAGTTTGAATCTCTTTCTTGATATAAATGTCATTGGTTGAGCAGTCAGATCAACTGACCCGCAGGTTGGCATTGCAATTCCAGCTTCCAGATGAATGCTGTTGTTGTGTCCTTGGGCAAGACACTTAATCCACCTTGCCCCCACTATTTGTCTACACTGGTGTGAATGGATGAGTGGTTCCTTGATGTAAAGTGCTTGTAGTGCCTTCAAGGTAGAAAAGCTTCATTCATGCAGATTTGGTAATTTATAATTTATTATTTATAGAATTATCATGTATAAGTGTAATAGAGTTTGAGTTTCAGTGATAAGGTAATTTAAAGGCTTTATGTGTGGAGATGAAGCAGAACAATAGAAAACCCTGGGAGGTCTGTTGAAGCATGTTTTCCCCACATGATTTAGAGCCTACACATTTTATGTTAAAGAGTTGCATAGTGTACCTTAACATATCCAAACATATCCAGTGAAATATGTGCAAACAGACATGAGTCACTACAGACACGCACTGTCATGTACCTTGAATAATAACAATATATAATGTACGAACCATTTCTCCATCGTTTGTTCATGCAGTTTTTCAGATCCTAATTGCCAAACTCCAGCTGAGTTTGTAGCCCTGGGCTGCTATTTATAATTGTGAGTAAGCAGGCTGTCTACACTCCTGTGCATGTATTTTTCCTCAGTCGTGGCTCCCTGACATAACATGTGTGGTGCTGTCTGTGTACAGCCTCAAAGAGGACTGTGGCTGCCCACCATGCATCATTTCATTCAGAAAACGGAAACTGTCACTGCGGACAGCTAAATATACCCATTCTGTGTCTCTGTGTCTCTGGTTTGTCATTTCTGTACTTGAGTCACGTTTCTTACATGTGATCTGATGCCATCTGACGTTGAACACTTTGATCTTATTGTTAGCACATAATGCGGTATTTGGCTTTTATAGTACAACTTACCACTATGGAAAAGAACATGCAGGAGTGGTGCCACGCAGCAATGAGTGGACACTTAGCATTGAATAATAATTTTCCATTCTTCAGTGTCTAAGTAATTAACACGTGGTTATCAGCACATCTGTAAAACACTCTAAAATTAACTCTTTAAACTCGTTCTCACTGTAAATGACTCACCACCACACTCTTTCCAAATGATTTAATTAGTGTAAGTACACTGACTACAGAGTTTAGTATGTGGATACCAGTTAATTAAGCACAGTTGCCCTCAGTTGTTAACTAATACCTCTGGTTTTTGTGGGTTGATAAGACAAAATACAAAATAAAAGCTATGGTTAGTTTATATCAAGCCATGAAATAAGAACAACTATCTCCCAAAGGTTTAATAGTTTTTTCCAAAGTTCAGCTTATTTGTTGTGATTTCGTACCACTAGCAAAATATTTTCCATAAACTTTTTTGTGAAGCTTTTTTGTGAGAGCATTGTTATGTTTGGTTTTGGTTCAAAAACATGCAGAACTGCCCCTAATTATGAATGAACACTATACTGGAATATACCAAACAAGGCCCATTGTTGTTGATGAAAAAATTGAACACTTAAAGTTGCACTATGTAACTTTTTAATTGGGTTCTGTCACCTTCTTGTTTCAGTCGATATGCTGCCATATGTTGCCTGGAATGTTACACAGTATGATATTAAGCAGATCTTCTTTACATTTATTCAGTTACAGTTGATAAGCGTTCTGACTGGGAGTGGGGTTGCCTCTCCACAGCGCTGACCTGTAACTTGGCCTAGCTTGGACTCCATGAAGATATACAGGTTTAATGGCATACTGTGAAGCATTCCAGACAAAGGAATAACATCTCCATGGAGAAAAGCATTTGCTGGACCCTCAACCAAAAAAGTTACACAATGCACCTTTAAGTTTCAGAACAACATATTAAACACAATCTAAGTGGCAGTGGGTATGCAAGTTGTTATTCAGATATTGGTTTGTATTTTTAAACTCTTATTAATCCTAACCAGGGTAAGTAAGTATGCTTTTTATTTACATAGTGCTTTTCACAAACATATGTCACAAAGACGTGTTACAGATCATTATTCATTCACTCCATACCCAGTGATGGTAAGCTACTATTGCAGCAACAGCTGCCCTGGGGCAGACTGACGGAAGCACGGCTGCCAATTGGCCCCTCCGCCCACCACCATAACTCATGCACACACCACTTTCATACCAGGCAACGTGAGTGCCTTGCCTAAGGACACAACCACAGTTTTTGCAATTGGCACCCCACTGTGGCACCTGATTTTCCCAGTGGTCTCCCATCCAAGTACTAATCAGGTCCAGCCTTGCTTCTGAGATCTGACAAAATCAGGCTTTGACAAGCCGGTATGGCCAAAAGCACCTTGCTAATAATGCTTATGTATTGTTAAACTCCATACACTTTCTCTAGAATTATTTGGATAATTTCAGCCCTGGATTTTCCAATCTCAACTAAAGAAAAAATAAAACATCACAAGGTCGAACAGAGCATTTTAAGCTTTGGAGATGCATTTGCTTTTGATGTTAAACCATTTCTTATACCAAAACAAATCTTACCTCAGTTTTTTTTGTCTAACCCTTTTCAGACTAAACTTCCTGTCCTCCTGCTGGGGCGGTCCTCGGACCTCAGACCAGGGGAGTTTGTGGTGGCGATCGGCAGTCCATTTTCACTCCAGAACACAGTTACAACAGGAATCGTCAGCACCACACAGCGAGGAGGCAGAGAGCTGGGCCTCCGCAACTCAGATATGGACTACATCCAGACTGACGCCATCATCAATGTAATATATAAGGGATTACCTCACAATACAAACATTACACAGTAGATATGCATAATTACATAAGATATTACACTGTTTTTCCTCATTGAATGTATCTGGTATTTTTCTTGCAGTATGGGAACTCTGGAGGTCCCCTTGTCAATCTGGTAAGAACACAATTGTAATATTTATTATTTTTGTTATTATTATTTTAACAAATAAATATTAATATTAAAAGTGCACAGTGTAATTTGTCTGCTGGACAGTCCGAAACCTGATTGTCTTCATTAGATGTGCCAAAAATGTTCCAGAGTATGGCCACAGCTAACTTTTGAATCTCCATGGAGACTTGTAAACCCAATTACAGGTTACAAATGTGGAAAGATTTCTGAGCATTAACTAACACCTGTACTTGAATAAATGCAAGACAAATTAGTTCAATGCCATACTATAGACAATTTAAGCTAAAGCATTAACATGTTCAAGGAGACAAATAGGTTGCGGACCCCCTCCAGAAAAGAAAACCTTTAAGGTTCATGAACACAGACAATGGACTTCTTGCCATTGCTATGTAATACCTGTCTTATCTATTCTTCCAGAAATCTCTCCAAACCACAGAATTAGCAGATCTGCAGACAATTTGATCTTAATTTGATTCAAATTTGAGTAATGGAACAGGCCTATTAAATGTGGAAATGTTATAAATCAAACCAAAGTGTTATTTCCGTAACCTGCAAAGCATGTTCCAATAGGCTCAGTTTTACATTATATCTGATATTGTTGCTTCTAAAACCCTTGCCATCAAAAGACATGAGTAATTGTAAACTTGATTACTTTTGACATCCATATTTACATTTTTGGAGTTGGAAATATTATAATGTGTTCCGGTCAGGACTAAGCTGACTTGTGCTCTCTCAGGACGGTGAGGTAATCGGGATCAACACTTTGAAAGTTACAGCTGGCATCTCCTTCGCCATTCCCTCGGATAAGATTCGACAGTTCTTGGCAGAGTCCTACGACAGGCAGTCCAGAGGTACCACGTGCTGCTGACACATCACATTATGTACCTCATGTTAAAGCTTTAATCAAATCACTCTCTAAGAGTGTTTGGGCCTCATTTTGGTTCATATCCTCTTTTTTTTTCTCCTTTAAATTTGTATTGGAAACATAGGAGCAAAATATACTGTACTATACACTGACACAGTAAAACACCTCATCTACATTCACCTTTCTCCTTTTTCAAAAAAATGTATCAAGTCACTGCACATGTATTACAAGTATTAATAAACTTGAACAAAAAGCTTGATAATAAATAAAAATACAATGGCTACATCAGATCACAATCAATTTAAATCTGATCTAAATGGGGCAACAAACAATTTTGATTGGATCAACAACGGATTGGCACAGTATGATGTGAAACAGACTGACTCATTGATACTTTACATTGACATCATGCTGGGGGTGTTCTACATGTATCTCTAATGGTGGAATGTTTAGGAGTTACCATGGTCACACAATGCACATTACCAAACAAAAAGGTTTTAAGAATGCCTGAAAACTGAAGAAAAAATACAACATGAATTTAAACTCACTACTCTGAGTGTGAGTAACTGAAAAACTGTTGGCTAATGCTAGCTAGCTTGTGAGTGTAATGTTATTGAGAGAGACTTGTTTAACAACACAAACCATCTCACCACTTGTGGTTTCAATGAAGTCAGTTCTTTCTGGCCAGATTGTAGCTCAGATTAAAGTGAAACTTCAGGAACAGCACTTCAGACAGAGTAGTGCTCACAGTTAGCTTCACACCCCCAGGGAAAGTAGATGACATCAGCTGCAAAGTATCAATAACTTTGTTTCCAACATTACCTAAGAGAGTGTTTGCACAGCAGAGGTGATTAACTACTCTAATGTCGATTCCAGTTTAAAATCATTTCAGTTTTACTCTTTCCCTTTTACCTTATTTAGTTATCTTTAGTTGTATTGACGCACCATTTTGAGTTATAAAAACATACAAGTCATTGCTGAATTCAGTGACCATGAACGAAAATAGAACCTGACATTTAAAATTTGATGTTGTAGAATTAAATTACTGAGATAATATCGGTATTTTTATGTCATATTTTTTATTAAATACATTTATTCTTCATATATTTTCTCTTAATGTTGTGCTTTGTATTTATTTATGTATCTTTAGGGAGAACAGCTGCAAAGAAGAAGTACATTGGGGTGAGGATGATGACTCTTACACCAGCGTGAGTTGCACTTTTTATGTCAGCAAAAGCACTAAATCATATTTCCACACTGTCTGACCAGTATTCAGTTGTGGTTTCTTTTCTTGTTTTTTCAAGTTTGGCCAAAGAGTTGAAAACCAGACACAAAGACTTCCCTGATATCACCTCTGGAGCATATGTTATGGAGGTTATTGCAAAGACTCCGGCTGCAGTGTAAGTTTCACATTCCAAAGCTATCAATTACAGCATATGGTCATTCAAACTGGAGAAACTCAGACAGACACAAAGAGAAAGTATGAGTATTATAGTAGTAGTTTTATTGAATGAGGTCGCTTCAGACCACAGCAGAAGACAATGCAATGAAGGGTGATGTTTAGGAGAGGTCTTTTTCCAAGAGCCTGGACACTGGAGGTGGTAGAGTTTAAGCCGATCAGAGTGAAAGGGACAATGAGATGATGAGGAGAGTGTCAGGGATGATGAGATGATGAAAAGAGTGAAAGGGATGTGCGGCACAAACCGGAGCGGCCATGTACCTGCAATGGGGATTTAAACTGGGCAGACTGGGAGCTGATCGGACAGGAGGAGTACTTGGAGTGAGGTGATGAAGACTGAGGAACAGGTAAACTCTGGAGAGACGGTGAGGTAGCTAGGAGCGAAGTTAGGTCTCCCAGGCTGAATGTAAGCTAGCTCGATTTCTACTGTCTCAAAAGAATCTTAGAAAATAAAAGTAGCTTGCTTTTCCGCTCCTCTTTAGCACTACCTGCTGCTATGAATTCCATCAACCTTCTACCCTCCAATGCAGATGTACAAGCTATTTCATTTTACTTTTTACTACTCTCCCCGGTGTCATGCGCTCTTCAGCAGCACCTACACAGTCTCTTACACCCGTACTGTAGAACATAAATTTCAAAGCTCCCATTGACATGCCTGGAGTGCCTAAGCCCTCAAACTCTCACCCCTCCTCCTCCCACATCCCACTCCCATCAGCCACCACCACAACTCCAGCATAGTGGGGCCTGCCCGAAGACGCTGAGCTCAGCTATTTCTTCCAAAACCCCACGGACAGAGGGTACTAGCTGCTCTACTGTGGTTTTCCTGCTCCTACTCTTTGAGTGTACTCACTGTAGTTATAGTCATCGTAGAGGGCCTTGTTACAGAGTACCTACTGTTTAGGCTTGCCCCTATTAACATTCTGTGGTTTGTTTTTGAAGCATACACTTTCATGCAGCGGTGGAAGAAGTACTCAATTTTGTTACTTGAGTAAAAGTACAGATACTGGAGCAAAAATACTCAAGTAAAAGTAAAAGTAAGACAAAAATATGGTCAAATAAAGGTATTAAAATACCCATTTAAATCTAATAAAGCTTCAAATTTAGTGATTTTGATAAAGAATTGTGCTGAATTCTGTTAAACAGTGCAAATTTATACTTAAAGATGCACTGTGTAACTTTTTGGATGGGGGTGTGTCACCTGCTTGTTTCTATGGCTATGTCATTTCTCTGCCTGGAATGTTCCACAGTATGACATGAAACAGCTCTGCCTTACATTTATTCAATTACAGATGCTTTGATAGCTCATAAATATCTAGAAAAACTGTATGCGCAAAGGTTTTTGGTGAGGTGTAATTAAACATATGTAATTAAACAAAAAACAAACAAAAAACAAGTACAGTGTACAATTAAATTTATTCTAGGTATAATAGGTTTTGTCTCAATTTATACGGAAAAATAAATTAACATTTCCTTAAATAATCTTTAATTTAGAAGTATTCAAATACTCTGTTCTGAACAAAATGTAATCTAATGTTATTGCATAGTGGTCCGGTTCAAGCCTACTTCCGCGGTGTGTTGAGGATGTATTTGAGCTTAAGCAGATTGGTTTAAATGAAGGTGTGGTGGCCTTGTTTACATGTGGCTATAATTACACAGAGTAAGTGTTTGATTCGTCTGCTCATAAATGCTTTGGCCTGTGTGTGATTTCAGGTTTACTACTTTGTTTTCTTTATGGCGGGTGCCTGTTTTTGCGCACTCTCTTTTATAACTTAGCACTTTGCTCTGACCATGCTAAGGTTCTACCATCATCACAGCTTCATTAAAATGCTTTAAGATGTTTCACACATGCTAACGGCTGACCAGCGGCTTTCTTTCACATGCCAAAATGTTTGTGAGAATCAGAGAGTGCAGTTAACATTTTTGCGCTTAACAAGGCCAAGCTAGGTGCTCAAAGTTACGTGTATATGTGATATCATTAAGGTGCATTGTGTAACTTTTCTGGTGGAGGGGCCTCCAAACGCTTTTATCCATGGAGAAGTTCTTGCTTTGCCTAGAATGTTTCACAGTATGGTATTAAACCAATCTATCTTCATGGAGACAAAACCAGATGAAGTTAGAGGTCTGATCTGTGGAGAAGAAACCCCACTCAAAGTCAGAATGCCATTTTTTTTATATATAAGGTAGAGCTGTTTAATGTCATACTGTGGAACATTTCAGGCAGAGCATTGACATATCTATAGAAACACACATCCACACCCCATTTTGTACCCCATTTGCTACAGAGTCACAACATATAAAGGGCCACATGTTACAATAATAAAAGTATAGTATTGGCCTGGAATCCATTCATGGTCAAACTGTACAGCCAATCTTATAGTCATTTTATTTACTTAAGATGAGATATGCCTTTGTCCCTGTTTAAAAAATAGATGATGATACATGATGTTTTAACCATACATCAAAACATTTTTCCATGGTTTTAAAATTCCATTTATTCGTTATAGCTATGCACCGTTTGCTGCTGTAACTTTGCCAGATACAATATTTACTTAGACTTAGGCAAACTTTATTGATCCACAGGGGAATTATTTGGACACAGTAGCTCATACATCACAATCTTTTGTCATAACAAAGAGCAAAAATATAAATATTATAACAATAAATTCAAAACAAGTAGAAAAGATAACTAGAGTCAAGTGTCAAATAAGGCGTAACCATAATTGTACATAGTTATAAATGTACAAGTAATTTAAAAAATATAGAAATCTAGTAATACACATATCTCAGCTATATAAAAGAGATCAAAGATGAAATACAGTCCAAAGATGAAATAGTGATTGACATGACAGAGGGTTATCTATTACCTAAGGGTGAGTTGTTGTACGGTTGTATGGAGTATGGTGTAAATGTAGTCCTGTGTCTCTCACTGTTTGAGTGGCGTTGTATGTACCTGTTGGAGAATGAGCTCCTCTGTCCCTCTATAGTCTGGTGCAGTGGGTGAGCAGGAGTGTCCAAGATGGAGAGCAGTTTGTCCAGTGTTACTAGATGCTATCTTTTCTGGAGTTTCCTTCACTAAACCTTCACAATTTTATTTTTCCTCGCAGTGGGGGACTCAAGGAGCATGACGTCATCATCTCAATCAACGGACAGAGGGTCGCATCAGCCACAGATGTCAGCGCTGCCATCAAGAAAGACAGCAAGCTCAAAGTGGTGGTTCGCCGTGGAAACGAAGATGCCATTCTCACAGTTGTTCCGATGGAGATTGACCCTTGACATTCCAAATAAGCTGGAGGTTTCTTTTGCCAATCACCAGTGGACCTTATATTTTAACTGGCGAGGTGTGGGTTGTTTCTGAAATGCCCTTCCTTCTGCAAAAGGCAAAACGCCAGTGGCAGCACATGTCCAAGAAAACTGGCTTTGTCTTGAAAGAAACGACTGTGCAGATGGTATTACAGCTGTACTGTACTTTTCAGATTTTTACTCAAGTCTTTAATGCTTTGATCAATGCTACTGTTTGGTCAGTGTCTAAAAATGTTGTTTTTATCATATTGATTTGTTTTACACTTCAAAGTCTAATATGTCTAATATCAAAGTTTTTCAGTCACACCTCCAAGTGCATTGTTAACATTTTCAAGTTACTGGGTTAAACTCATTTGATGTTTTCTCACATTTTTGAAAGTACTGTAGATATATTTGTTGATTCTGTGATGTAAAGAAGAAAATAAAGGGTTTAGATTCCTTTGTTTTGATACAGACCACATTTTCCATTGGATTTCAACATAAATACACAGACTCACATCTTGAACCTGATGCACTGCTATCCGTGCCATATTTGCTTAGCTATTACTCATGACTCAGAACCAATTGGGATCAGCTTTGGACTCGTTTTATTGCATGCATATGGACTTGATAGTGGTCTGGTTGTGTGATTGTTGGGGCAGAGGCTGTGATGCTGTGGCTGCAGATGTGGGTCTCTTATCCAGTCCAAGAAGTTCACAGCACTTCTACTATCTAATATGTATAAGCAGATGTGTTTTTAATGGCCAAAATGGTCTTCGAAATAAAAAGTGGTGACACAGGGTTCTTTAGGCCTCTGCCTAATCTGTGAAAGCGCTTCAAGTTGTGTCATAGCCTACATGTTACTGCAGTGCATATTGTATTCTTGTGATGGCGCTTGTTGGGTTTCATACTACAGCACCACATTTAATGTACTGCAAATAATATTTAAAACTGGTGGCGTGTAGGGAGAATAAAATGAAGATTTGTGTTGTAATACAGTTCGATCTTGGGTCTAATTACTAATAGATATGATATAAGGTTCAACGTTTAATTTGTCTAAAAATTGTTGATTGTTTGACAGTAGGCCTACATTGTAATCAAAAAGGAAAATTCTCTTACCCCCATCTGGCAGCATGGTATCGTCACTTTCTAGAATCTGAAAACCCTTTAAAATGATGGTGCCTTGGGAATTACTACACAAGATGCAATGTTTCATTATTTCCCACTGCTGCTGCCATCTCATGGCCCTGTCCTGGCATTGCATTTGTTCTTTTCTATAATCCACTGCAAATTTAGGTAACAATAAACGTGAAAGTTTAGGTAATGTAATGTGGTCCACCAAAAATTTACATTTTCTATTCCTGCTCTGGATATTACAGAAAATCAGGGTTAATTTTGACAGCACACAGGCCGAACGCTAACGCATAATTTATGAACCATACTCATCCAAGTCTTGATGACATATGTGGCAAAAAAGTTAATATGTTGATAAAACGAGTGGAACACAAAAATACGTTTTGATCTAAGCCTTCATAATGCGATAACGAGTGCAGTGCTACCGCTTTCCAACTGTGACATAAGAGTGTTACATTTTAATTAATAAACTGTTCACAAACCATCTAAAAAGAATCTAACTTAAAAACTCCTTAATCTATTGGAGTTGTTTTATACGTTCATATTTCAGAAAAGCACTTCTTATCGAAAGATTTGGCACAGTTTCAAGTAGCATGTAAGCTGTCCTTTGCTGCCCTCTGTCGTTTATTTTGATTTCAAACAGTCAGCCAACCCGGTGCCATTTTACTGGATAACTGGGGAATATTAGCGATGCTCATTGGTCAGTCCGTATCTCGAGGCGCACGACCTGGGAACGAGGAGGGAGGGGATATTTTAATGGCCGCCACTACCACTGCTAAATACAAAAACTCTGGATTATGTTGTTTACAGAGATCGGAGTTGAAGGGTTTAGCGGCAGTACAACTAGTTATAATCTCGAGTGTGATCATCTAAACATACTCGGCAGAAAGATGACTCTATAGTTTAGTTTTTGGAGCGCTGGACAGACTTTACCCGCTTGATCTGTACGCGATTGGGAGCTCAGGCCTAGCCGGCTGGCTAACAGACAAGCGGAACATCAGCTACTCACTGAACTTTAAAGGTAATATGTGTTTTTTTGTATTTAGACATTTTTACTTTACCTTAAAACTTTATAGACTCTTACGTATGTTTAGCCAAATGTCACCAATTTCTCTATCATATGTTAAAAATCCCCAAATTGTACGGTGGTTATGATAGCACAAATTGCATCGAAGCTAATGGTAACTTCAAAATAAGTTTACTACTGGGGGAAACCTAGCCTAAGGTCTCCGCTATAATCGTTATTGGGGCTTGACCCAGTTTCTTATGCTGTTAGTGTTGTATATTAAAATTATTTATTTTTAGTCTGCTTCAAATTTAGAGAAATCCCTGTGCTGAATCACTCATTGAACATACATATACTGGAGTAGTTAGCGCTATTGCTAACACTTGTTTTTGCTTAGCTAGAAGTGGTCGAGAGTATACTTTAAAGTGATCTCGATGTGACCTAATGGTTACGAAAATGCCGTCAGAAAATTCTGTCAGTTTCGCTTATTGTTGAGTGCAGCGGTATTTTGATTTTGTTAATATGTCGTAGATTCTGGAGGCCATACAGATGAATACAAGAAAGTTGATTTTGAGACCATTTTCATTTCAAGATTACTATGTACTATTTTCAAGTTCTCATTGCTTTTTCCTTTATATAGGGAATATGTAACATAACGAAAAATGACATCCAGATTTGGTAAGACATACAACCGCAAAGGAGGGGAGGCCAACTCTAGATTTGAAGAGGTCTTTTCTAACAGAAAGCCCACCTTGTCCACCAAATGGGGAGAGACCACATACAAGGCTCAACTTGGGGCCAAAAGGCCTGTGTTAAAAACTGATGTCTCTGAGATTTCAAAGAGGCCCAGACTAGAGGACAGTGACAGTGACCAGGACCCGTTTGGGTTTGACAGTGACGATGAGTCAAAAACCGTCACTTCTCACATTGGCCCGGAGGCTAATGTCAGTACAGCTGCAGCTACAATCGCACCAACACCACAGAGCACTGTCAAGCCATCTGTAGTGACCTCCTCTCAGTTAGCTTCTACCACAGTAACAAGTGAGTAGTCATGCATTGTATCTTTCAAATGTCTTGTTTAAATGAAATATGCAGACTTTTAATTATATCTTCTGTATTCACAGGCAAGTCAAACCCTCAAGAGAAAGTTATTAAGGTTGTTGTCAAAAGTAACCAGCCGTGGTACAAAATTGCATCTGATCAGAAACCCACAACTGCATCCTTCATTTCACACTCGGTTTCTTCTGCTAATCAGAATTCAGGGACACAGTCGTTCCTCTTCTCTTCAAGCACAGACGCCTCTCTCTATGGCACACAGTCCAACAATGCTCCTGGAGGTAGCAGAGACTTCCTTGCACCTTCCTCTTGTGATGAATTGCCATCAGATGAAATGATGAATGCTGAGCCTGAAGCCGCTGCAGAGCCTCCACCAGAACCTCCAGTAGACAATATTCCCCCATCTCCATTCACCCTCAGGGCCTCCAACAGCAAGAAATACCAGAGGCCTAATCGGGCTAACAAAACCTCCTGTGAACTTGCGGAAAATAACAATGGTGATGACTCTCACCAAACCGCAAGCATACAAGCTAAATCCCTCACTGCACATCCCGCCAGTTCAAGCAGTACTGCTGCCAAGTCCACAACAGCAGCCAAGCCAGTGGGCCGGGGTGGAGGTAGGGTGAGGGACTACACCGTGCTGCATCCCTCCTGTGTGTCAGTCTGCAATGTCACTATTCAGGACTCAATAGAGCGCAACGTGGATGAGCTAGTTGCCCCTGCTCCCCCTGCCGACCTCGGAGAAGCAGGACAGATGAAGAAGAAGACTGATGCTCCTCTACCTAAGCATGTTCGGTAAATAAAGTATTTTTTGTTTAGTTTTATATTCATTCATGTATGCAGATAACTAATTTTGCTTCCTTCCAATAAATATTCTGACCTTTCTTTTAAAGGTATAGGCCAACACCAGCAAAGCCCAAGAAGACAAAGACTGAGAGCAAGCTTGAGTTCTTTGGTTTTGAGGACAAGGAGGAGCAGGGGGGTGAAGAAGGCTCTGAAAGTGCCATGGCAGGGAAAAGCAGCTACAAGATCAAATACTTTGGTTTTGATGATCTCAGTGAGAGTGACAGCGATGATGACAGCACCAGTGCCAAAGAAAAGAAACACAAGAAGGCTCTGGCAGCTCTGAGCTCAGGTGTGGACAGCCCCCAAACCAGCGACTCTCAGGACAGCCAGGCCAGCAGCAACATGGGTAAGTTCATTGCTTGTTTTGTAAGTATAAGTATATAAAAGGCTGCTAACTTTAACCTGTTTTTTTCTTTGAATGTGACAAAGATGCATTTGACTTTTCGGATGACTCAAGTCCTAGTGGGACTGAGACTCTTAAGGCACGTTTGGGGAAGGCAAATGAAAAGACAAAGGAATTTGGAAGTGGAACCAAAAAGATCTTTAGTGGACCAAAAAAGGTAATTATAATCACTTCAGAACTTGATGTTAACGCAATGATGTCATATTTAGATTGGTTATAATTTGATTCAGTTCTTTCATACATTAAAAAATATATTTTAAAACAATTTATTAAAATAATAAGCAAGCAGTTGTTGCAGTAACAACAAATAATATATTCTGGTTAATTATGCTTTCCAATTAAGTAACACTTGCACAGGTACACATAAATAATTTTACATGGAATGAAAAAGACAAGGTCATTTAATGCATTTGAAAATAAACTTCTGAAGCTTAAACTGTTTTCTTTTTTTCAGTCACCTGCAAAAGCTGTGTACAATGCTCGCCACTGGAATCATCCTGAGCTTGAGGAGATGCCTGCACCTCCTCTGTCACGCTCTCAAACTGCTCCGGTGAGAGCCTTTTCAGTTTACTTTTGTTCTTATTTGGATAGATAAACCAAACCATTGTTTGAGCATGTTCTCATAACAAATTCAATATTAGAGATTAACATATGTCAAGTTTGCACTCTGGTCTGAACTCTGCTACCTGCACACTTCTACCCAATGCTCAGACATATAATTTCTCAGATTTTGTGTAAGATTTGTCCTGCTCTTTTCTTTTCAGGCCATTTTATCGAGCAGCAGCAAAGACAGCAACTCCCATAAAGATGATGGTGTGTTCAAAGCTCCTCCACCACCACCTAAAGTCATTAAGTCTGAGACCATGCCCACACGTCCCAACCAGGATATTGTCACAGCGCTCAAATGCAGGAAGGAGCACAAGGAGGTCAGTGTCCAATGCAGTGTCTTCTGAAGTGGTTTAAAGTGAACTAAAGAGAGCGATTTGTCCAATATCATTCAGGAAGATGGGTGCTGCTGTCATGATAGTTCAGCCCCTATAAGGTGTTGTGAGACTGCATTCCCCATTATTTTAATTAAACTAGCCAGTATGCTCTCAACAAATATACAGTGTGAAGTGCTGATGGTGCCTGAAGCCCATATACTGAGCCACTATTGACCATGGTATTAGCACAGTCAGCCATTGGATTTAATGGAACCAATAGAGTGGAATCGAACAAAATAAGAGCATTTCTCCAGTGCTGTGTGTGTGGGCTGAGTGTGTCTTTGGATTGTTTCCCAATTAGCTCAAATTAACCCAATTCCCCTTCCTCCAGCTGTACACGGTAGTGCAGCATGTGAAGCACTTCAATGACGTCGTGGAGTTTGGAGAGAATCAAGAGTTCACAGATGACTTTGAGTACCTGGAGACGGGGCTGAAAAGTTCGCAGCCACTCAACACTAGATGCCTTAGGTGAGAGCAACTTGTCAAGTCTAGCTGCTAGAAATTACACGAAATCTGCTCTCAAAGGTTAGATGTCTTGTTTTTTTTTTATCATTTATTAAAAAATAATTTAAAAATAAACGTGACAGATAATTAAAAGTCAATTAAAGCAGAAACTGTACACCTTTAAACTCCTGCCCCCACTCACAGAAAAAAACATGATTTGTTTAAATCATTAAAGCTAAAACAAGACCACCTGCCAATTGTTTGACATAATGTGTTATTTTTATTAAGCATAATTTTCAGTACAGAAGCAACTATTCAAATTTTTGTAATGAAATATTTTGCACTTTTTAAAGTCAAATTTCATACACTTTAATGATGAACTCCTGTATTTAAAATTTTTTTTATTTATTTTTTATTGTTCATTCTTGTCTCTCTCCAGTATAATTGGCCTGGCCACACGATGTGCTATGCCCAGTTTCAGGATGCACCTGAGAGCCAGAGGAAAAGTGGCACATGTCTTCAAAATCCTCAGTGATGCTCCACAGCATCCAGTGAGTAGTTTCACTACTTAACTACTGACTTGGATCATTAATTAGTGATCTCTACTTATTCTGTTGGGCCAGATGTAAACAGTTCCCACAGTGTCAGTCCTATTGTCTGATCATTGACTGCCGCTCTTATTTGACATGCTCCTCTGCTCCTTAGAACCTGGCCCTATGCACAGCTGCCCTCATGTACATTCTGAGCAGAGACCGTCTGAACATGGACTTGGACCGGGCTTGTTTGGAGCTCATGATCAAGCTGCTGGAGCTGGAGCACGACTACTCTGCTGTGCAGGACCAGCTGACGACCAAGGAGGAGGACAAGGTCAAGGAGAAGATCAGGAAGCTCTGTGAGACCGTCCACAACAAACATCTGGACTTGGAGAACATCACAGTATGTATACTCAATAGCTTTAAGATCAGCGCCATAAAGCTTTTGTAATAAATGTATGCAATTATATCATAGTTTTCTTTACAAATGAGGATGAACTGTTACAAATACTAGGAAGTCATTTTTTATTCTGCCCAAAAATTTCACTCACTGTACTTGCACTGAAATACATTTGTGCAAGCCATTTAGTAAATTAAATAAGTTTCTTAATTTTCTGGTATTATAAAACTTTAATTGTATATTCATTTAATCATTCACTTTTTAATTACTTTTGTGTCACTGTGGCTTTTGTGTACACCCGACAAAACCACTTTGATACAAACTAGAGTTGAAATTTGTTTTTCAGACTGGTCACCTTGCCATGGAGACTCTGCTCTCTTTGACTTCGAAAAGAGCCGGGGACTGGTTCAAGGAGGAGCTGCGTCTGCTCGGAGGCCTAGACCACATTGTTGACAAAGGTGGGTGTTTTTTTTGGGGTTTTTTTTCTTTCTTTTGGGTCAGTCAAAAGTTGGCTTTTGACTTTGGGGTTATTCACCATCTGTGTAATTTACGGGGGCGTTTCTGGTTCTCATCTCTACAGTAAAAGAGTGTGTGCAGCTCCTGAGCCACGAGGAGGACAAGGAGAATCTGGTGGCGTCATTGTGGGGGGCGGAGAGGTGCCTGAGAGTGCTTGAAAGTGTAAGTATGAAGTGTGCTCCCTGTTTCAGAAATCCAAAGAGTGACAGTCAAGGGCAGGTGTAAAAGAAGAAAATTACATGGTTATTACACTTGTGCCCTTTGTCTCCTTTTGTACCTTAACTTTCCTGTAGCTCCTTTGTTCAACAGTTATTGATCACTGACTCTAATCACAACTTCAGATTTCTCCTTCAAGTTTGGTTCAAGTTGTTTCCTTTTGTACCTTTTTTCCCTCTTTTTATTGATTTATTTTTCTTTCATTCACTGCCAACAGGTCACAGTGCAGAACCCAGAGAATCAGGGTTACTTGATTGCTTACAAAGACTCTCAACTGATCATCTCTGCCGCGAGGTGAGTGGTCCAGACTTGAAAATGGACTCCTATAATGACTTGTGTGCAGCAGGTGTTGTAGTTACTTGTATTGTCTCGTTTTTCTCAGAGCACTGCGTCACTGTGAGGACATGATCCAACGCTACAGCAGAGCCCTAAACAATAGCAGTGTGTCCTCGGCTGATGCTGCTCTTCCCCACTGTAGCTTCAGTAATGTGGGCAAGGCTGTGGAGGACTGCATGAGGGCTGTCATTGGAGTGCTGCTTAATCTCACACATGACAATGGTAAGCACTTCTCTTTTTAACCAGTTTAATTTATTATCATAAAGTTGTTGGCATAGATGAATGTCTGCCATACTGTGTTTGTACATTACAAAGAGAATGGGACAAGTATAAAGGGAATAATGTTCTTCTCATATTTTCCTGTCAGAGTGGGGCAGTACAAAGACGGGTGACCAGGAGCTGTTAATAATTACAGCTTTGAACTGTGTGCTGCGAGTACCTCGCTACATCCCACCTGAGCAGCGCTTTGACATCAGAGTGCTGGTAAGTCTCCTGTAAAGACAATAACACTGTTTGTGAACTGTGTTAATGAGAAGCAACTGTAAAAAGATTTCACTTTGAAGTAAAGATACATGTGTGTGTTTTATGTTTTGGCATACCAGGGCTTGGGCCTTCTCATTAATCTGGTGGAGTACAGCTCCAGAAACAGACACTGTCTAGTGGACATGGAGTACAGTGTAGAAGACGCCTGTCTGGAGGACAGCCTGATGCAGCCTGCTGATCCCACACAAAGCAGCGCAGAGTCAGCAGCCGCTCCAGCTCCTGGAGAGGAAGAGGAGAAGCCCAAAGCCTCTGGCGCTTTGGCTGCCCTGGTCAAGGTACGAGCTGGGCCCGCTAGCATCATAAATATCCCACATTCTATAGAGTATTACATTAAACAGCACACAGCTATACATTCAGCTGCACTTGGTGGTAGTAAGAAGTCGCGTCGAAAAATGAATATTGTTATAGCTTTCTGGACTAGATTGAGAATGCAATTTCCCCTCAGTGCCACATTGGCCAATGCACAAGAATAAGCTCTCTGTGCCTATAAAATAATGGCCTCTTTGAATTTAAGACATTTAGCTGACTGGTAAAAAGGGCAGAGAGTCCATGGGAACTGACTGCACACAGATTTGGTATATGTGTGAACCTTTGCTTCATTTCGGATTATATCATTCAAACTGAATGTCTTGGCATATTAGTATTACATTTATGTTTGTCTGCCCTGCAGGTCTCCTAATCATGCATTATTTCTTTGTTTATTTTAATTTGTTATTTATCTGATTTTGCTTTTTTGCAGTTATTTCTGGAGAGGGAGCGTGCTGCTATACTGGCTGAAGCTAAAACAGATGACCTCATCAGTGAGGCCCCAAAGCCGGCGCTGGACCAGAGTGGACAGTGGCAGGAGACATCGGGTGAGATCCAGTGGGTCGAGGCCGAGAACACTGACAAGCAGACTACATCCAAGGACAGTGACAAGAAGGAGGAGGAGGACGAAGAGTTGGACCTCAATAAAGGTAAACAACAAAGGCCCTAACAGACAGGCTTATCAAAATGGGATGGTGGCATTGTGGCTGCTATCAATAACATAGAGTAGGTCACAAGATTAGATTCTGTATAAACTTGTATGTGGGTTAGAGACGTTTTGCAGTTTTCAAATGCTCAAAAAATGAAAGTATAATGCCATACAAAATTTGTTGATTTTGTGGTATATTTAAGTCTATATTATATAATTGTGTATATGCCCCTAGGAAGAAAAAAAACTAACTTTTTCTACATTTAAAACCAGGGACATCTTAATAATGTCATTCTGTGCAACAAATGTATTGTTAATTATGAAATTAAATAATTAAATTTAATTGAATTTAACTTATATTATTGAAAATGATAAAAAACACAAACTGAAATCTACAAACAGTAAGCCATTAAAAATGTTCTTTTTAAAGTTTTAAAAAATTTCACATTTTGCCCTAATACGGCATTAACTCTGTGGTATCTTTTTTTTTTTCACAGTTAAAGTGAAAAGTTAAACATTTAAAAATTGGATAAAACTTAAGCTTGTGAGCACTTCCCAGTTTTAAACTTAAGTTTTTATGTAAAAATCTTTTTTTTTTTTTTTTTTTGTATGTCAAAACAAACATTCCAACACATTTCACTGTAATATCAGCATTTCACCACATGACATCTGACGTTTTACTTAATGATGGTTCAACTGAAATACAAAAAAAGCTTTTCTTTTGAAATAAACTTCGAGAAAAGTCAACCAAATTGCACTAACACCTATCTAACTACCTTTAATATATTTATTGTCCAGTTGAATTTTGAATAATTACAAATTAAACTACCATACCTAATTTCCTTTATTTATGTGATTACTTTACATTTAAAATGAAAATTATTACTTTAATATAGTATGAAATATAGTTAGTACATTATAATAACATTGTAAATAATACTAATAAAATTGTAAAAGAAATGCAGATATTTTTGAGTTAAATGCTTAATGTTACCTACAACAGGCACAGATCTGTTTCACCAAATGACAAATTCAGGTTTCACCGAATGACATGCTGTTACCAAATGACTAATCTGGTTTATACTTTATAAACCAGTTTATAAACCTAAACTGGTTTATACTTTATCCATCAAAGAGAAACAAAGGCATCAATGCTGACTGCTCACACCAAGCATTGATTTCAAATGTTATATTTTTAAAATTAAAACAGTTTTAAACACATTTTGAACATTGCACTGAATGACAAAATCAAAGGCGTCACCAGCAAAAACTAAAAAGCCAAATCTGAATATTATTTCCTGCAGGGTCCTTAGTGTGATGTCATCTCATGAAACATAAGAAAAGACCTCAGATTATTGTTCAAAATGGCCCTTTAACTTCATGGTATCGAATGACACTGATGAAAAGAGGCTTTTGCAGACATCTGTATTTAAGACATTAAAAGTTGTTCTTTTTGTGTTAATTTTGAAAATAGTTTTATATGTTGTTTATATGTCAGAGCTTTTAAAATTATGCCACAGAGAAAAGTTATGGTTTTGTCAATTTTTAGAATTTGTACAGACAAATGTTATCACTGTTTCTGCATGTGATCTGTGTCACAGAGTGATATTTTGATACTTGAAACCAAATTTGAAAGAATACTATAGGTTTATTCATCTAAATGCGTATTGGTACAACTAAAGAGATATAAAAATCTATTTTTTTAAAAATGTATAATGCCAATGTCACTTCACTGACCCATGTGTACACTTTTGTTTTGTTAAGTGGAATCAGAAATGCTTTCTCTTTTGTATCTGCAGCTCTGCAGCATGCGGGAAAACATATGGAGGACAGCATAGTCGCTTCCTACACGGCTCTTCTTCTGGGCTGCTTGTGCCAAGGCAGCCAGGTAAGATATAACATTACAGAAGTATTTAGTTTTGTATAAACCTGTGGTTTTGTTTCATGTGTCCCCTCTTCTGAGCAGATCAATGTGACTACTGTGAGAGAGCATCTACCTAAAGGGGATTTCTCCATCATGACAGAGATGTTGAAGAAGTTCCTGAACTTCATGAACCTCACTGTGAGTACATAATATTATCAGTTATCTAAAATGTGCAAAATGTGTAGGTCATTAAAATCACAGCCTCTGTTCCATGAACAAAATGCACTTGAGAAAAATGTGTATGTAAGCTGTAGTTTCTTTTTGGTGGATTCTGGCCTCTGAAGTTTTTAAAATGTAAAAACTTGAATTTGCTCATAAATAGTTATTTAACGCAATAAGTAATACATGATATGGTTTTTCATAACATTCTGGTTGGATCTAATATAGAAAAGTGACTCAAGTGCCTGCACTACTAGCTCTCAATATTACTTTTCGTACCTTCTGGGGTTGTAAGAGTTGGGCCCTCACCAGAGAAGTAGAGCATTTTCTCATGTTTTTGTTGTTTCCTCTTTGTCTCTTCTCAGTGTGCAATGGGCACCACAGGACAGAAGTCCATCTCTCGAGTCATCGACTACCTGGAGCACTGTTAACAGACAGTGGTACTGAACTCTGGGTGGTACATCAAAGGCAAGGGGCTGCTTCTGGGCCCTTACAGACTAGAGCCACAGGGGGCAGTGCAGGCTCACAGCCCATCACCCGGAGCTGTGATCAACCTCAATCTGGACTCCCCCAGGCCTCCTCTGCGCCCCCTCTGCCCACACACACCTCTGTTTCACACATTGTCTGTTGGCACAGCGTGTACCAAAGCCCTTGTACATGTAGGGGCTCAGATCACTCACCTGTGATCCTCAGACTGTCCAATGCTCCTCAGGTACCAGGGAGGAGGGGCTTAGCCTTTGTCCTGACACAGCTCTGAACAGGCTCCAGACCTCGTCCTGAAATGTCCTAAAGCAATGCTCTGGCTCTGCTACTGCAACAACCAGCCCACAGTCACCCCTCCAATTTTATGGATCATTGCATTTTAACATGTTCATTTACACGGACTCGCTCCAGTGGGGAGACCATTGTTTAGCATGAAAACCCCTTTTCATGGATTTTAGACGTCTTTCTAAACAGGTGTGAAATCATGGGAATGCATACAACTGTTTTTGCTGTTTGTGTTTGGCTTGAGATGAATGTTAAGAAAGAGCATAGATTACACAACACTTTGATCCCCGATGCTCCCGATTATGTTGTGAAATCAGCTGCATTGCTTTTTACTTTTTTCTTTCAAGGGCATTTTTCCCTCATAATGAATTGTAGATTTTCTTTAATTTATAACAATTGTTATGATTTGTTATTATGAATTGGCAGACATTGATTAGTTAGTTTTTATTCAATTTTAGAAGAATTTTCTGTTACATTGTGAGAGCTGTGCTTCCTTTTAAACATCAGTGAAGTTAATGTATTTAATTTAATATTACTGTCCCTTGGGGTATGATTTTTCTTATTTTTAAATTCCTGTCATGTTTTTCAACCCATGATTCACTGCAGTAGCTGGACATTAATACATCTTTATGAATGAGTGTCATTTCTCACCCAGACTAGTCCTCATATGTCTATGTGTCATTTTAGCTTGTTCATTTGAAACATTTCATAATTGAAGAATTAGTTGGGCTTAATTTATTCCTGCGTGTCATTTGAAGCGCCCTCTAGAGACCTCTGTGTCTTGTACTTTGCGACCACTGACTGAATGACAGCCATAGCCGTATTTATCTGCTCCGAGGGGCTGCGGTGAACTCTCAGTTTACTGTACACTTTGCAAAATTATAATTTGAATGGAATTTTAAGACTGTAAATACACCTGTACATAATGGTTCATGGACATTCAAATGCTTAGACTACTTTTTTCTCCCGGAGCTGATATTTTTATTTTATACAATACTATTTCTGAGTTTGAAAAAAATGCAGGAAGAGTAAAACATGTTTGTACCCGTTTTGAGGACACTGTCTTTGGTTACATGTAAAAAGTTGTATCTCAAACTAAAAAGTTGCTACTTTCAGTACACTCCCCTTGTGTGTTTTATTTTCCAATCTCTATTGTTTGACCAGTGGGGACTTTTTCATTTTCAGTTTATGAATTCAGAGCTATGGGTGGTAAACAGCGGTGTGAACAAAGAGATGTTTAGCTTCCTCTTGCTTTTTCTGTTTGGTATTCATCGCAGCTAGGTGAATTTGTATTCAATCTCGTCGCGACGGCCGTAACCTACAAGGCTACAAGTTGAAAATGTGCGCGCCACCCTCATTTCTTTTCCTATCCCTGACAAACTGTCTGGGATAGAGTGATGGTCCAGTGCTGCCCGTATACTTAGCGGCACTCAACGCTGACAGCTTGCGGATGTGGCCTGACTGACTTGCGCATAATAGAAACAAAAGATTCTCCTCTGTGGCTCTAGTGGGGAGTCAAATTTACAAACAGCTAACAGTGCTCTGGGGAAGATGTGTGACTATTGTGATTTTCATGCAGCTGTGTCAGCCTTGATACAACAAACAAAAGGGTTTCAAACCGAGTTCAGTATGGCAGGTATAACAACAATGCACACATGGGGGACAATTATGTTTATGTATCTTTGAGCATGCAGGTCTGCTATAACATGATCAATGCAGGTGAGTCACAAATCAGGCACTCATGCGAACTATTAACTAATTGTTTTATGGTTTTAATATTTGTATAACCTTGCAGCAATTTTTAGGAAACCATCTAATGTAGTGGTGACATATTACTGTGTGTCTTACTAAGACCCTATATTACAAAAAATTGAGTGTTGTGAGCTTTAAGCCATGTTAAAATGTTTCCTCATCAAAAAACATAACCTAATAACAAATGCAATGGCTTGATGATGGTGCATTTTTACTTGCATTGACTTTAAAAGAAAAGATAAACAGGAAGGTTATAGTAAAAATGATCCACTATGGAGCTTGCTGGTGGTGAAGTGGTTTAAGTCACTGCACAAAATATGGTTGCCTAATAAATAAAAATAATGTTCTTGTACTTTGTTCAAGGAGAAAATGCATAGACTACACCCTTCTCCTTCAACCTTCATCAAAAGTGCAGTGTATGTGAGAAGTTCTGTGTGCCTGTGCAGTTAGTATTTGGTAGTAGCAGTGAAGACCTGGTGACAAGTGTTGAAGGTGCATTGTGTAAATTTTCTGGTGATGGGTTCATCAAATACTTTCCTCATTGGAGATGTTATAGCTTTGTCAGGTTTAATACAATATTGTGAAACCAATCCAGACCAAGTTACATGTCAGATCTGTGGAGAAGCAACCCCACTCATAGTCAGAATGCCATTTTTTCTAGGTATTTTTGAGCTATAAAACTATAAAATGTAATAAATGTAAGGTACAGCTTTTTAATGTGATACTGTGGAACATTCTAGGCAGAGCATTAATATCTCAGGTGACTGACCCCATCCAAAAAGTTATATAGTGCACCTTTTAAGTATTATCATTTTCATATTAGACAACAATAGTGGAACTTGTTTGGTAAAGTGTAGTGTAGTGTTAGTAGCACATAATAATTTAACCTGGGGGCAGTTCACCTCCTGCAACAAAAAGTTACACAATGCACCTTCAAGGCTCTTCAAGGCTTCTGAGGTTCAAACATTTTTGTTAAGTAATTAATGTTGCCGGAGGATATTATTGCAATTTAGCTGCGTATTTGGTCATGGTTTGTTTTGTATGTGAAGCTTTGTGTGCCCTTGAAAACGTGTGACTAGTCTTACTCTAGTCTGCTGTGTCAACCGTAGCACCTTACATTCAACTTCTTTGCATTCAATTTGTCAGGTATAACGTTTACCAAGAAGCTCACAAAGGACTCTAATTAAACCCTAACATCCTCACAAACATGCAAATATATGACGAGAATATGTTACCTCGGCTGATTTCCTTTCCAAACGGCGTGGACGCTTACTGCTTATAGATGACAGGCCTTTTCATCCGCCTCTATGCATTATACATGGCAGCTCTTCAGAAGCAGCCATTCAAAGGCAGAGCAGTCTCCATGAGGAATGCTGGTGGAGAAATAGAAGTAAACACATAGTCAGCAATAGATTCAACAGGACCCAAAGGTTAACTAGCTCCATGTTTTGTCCTCCACCCTGAGAATATGCAGTGGGATTACTCTGGCCCACCTGCCAATCGTCAAGCCTGAAGGGATCGAACAACTGGATTTTACACTCCCCTGCATTCTTGCTTTCATCTCTTTCTCTTTGGTCGTGGTGTATTTCACTGAGCCATACAAGTCTTCATTTCAAATATATGTATTGAGAAGCCACTATAAATTTGTACATTGATGCTTATATACGTTTTGTTTCATCTGAACAAAGAAGAAGTAAGAAAATACTAAAACAATACAATAAATAAAAAAAATACAGAAACATTCCCCACACCCTATTCAACAGGATGCTATCCCTCTGTGTATTACTCCATTGTTCAGACCATGCCTTTCAAATATGAAGGGAATGGTTTCCACATTTACTCAAAATTGTCCAGATGAACCATACAATTCTAGGACTCGTTTTCATATCCTGAGAAGCTTCTATGTACCATAACTATTTCTTTTATTTTTTGGTCCCTCTCTGCGTAATTGAAATCACACTTGTTTGAGGGCACATGAAAGACCAAGGTAAAAGAAAACAGACCTCTACAGATATATTGGCTAGGTTAAAATAGTGAAATATTGACCCATCATGATAAAGTATCATTATCGCCATCTGCTGTATCGATATACCACCAAGAGTTTTGGTATATTTTCCTTAATTATTTTGTGACAGTGTTACAATTCTGACGTTTGTTCAGAGTAGGGAAACTCATTAAGAAATACATTAGACATATTCATTGTTTTAACATTTCACTCACTTTCACAAGTGGTGGTTTAACAAAGAACTACTGTTGTTAAAATGTATTTGGTGCTTAGAAATTGTGTTATATTGCAGAATATCATGGGCTATATATTGATTATGATATATATTGCCATATCGTGAGCCATGTATCAAGTATTGTATCAAATCATGAGGGACCCTGATATTGGCCCTATCTGAGGAGGAAATTGTACTGTATATTTTGTTCCAGTATTATAGACATTTTGCATTCATTGTGTAATGATGACCAGTTGCCAAAAACGCAACCGTCTGTTGCTGCTGTTCCCTCCTTGGATTTTTTTAACAGATGCTGGCCACTGGACACCAGGAACATCCCACAAGTTTCAACTCACTGCCATCTTGCCCTCACAGTTAGGATGAAATCTCTATGCTGGCTGTTTCTTGTAACACATGAACTTTGAGGACAAAATGTTCACTAGATTCTTTACTATCCAGATTTAATTTCATTTAGTCAATTTCAAGGTAATGGTTGAGTGTGCCGAACCACACGTGAGCTATATGCATGTAATATTATAGAAACTGTCACAGAAAGTGTCTAAAAAGTGCCTAGTAAACATTATTGTTATTTCCCAATACCCAATAGAAACACAGGCTACAACAAAAGACTTGTTTCCTCCTCATAGCTGGACAAACTGGAGAATAAGTTGGTAAAACATGACATAGGCCTACCTCCTTTTACATCTGGAATTATCATAGACAGAAAAAACAGTAACATATCTGTGGGAAATATTATTATTATTATTATTATTATTATTATTATTATTATTGTCGTATTCATATTTTTTTTAAATCCAACTTTGGAATATCTGAAAAATGTTCTTATTAAATATTTTCAGTCAAATGAAACTCAAAATCGCAATCTTTTGTTCTTGTAACACTCCATTTTCATCTCAGTCTCATATTCACACTATTCTTTGACTAGTTTTCATCCCCCGCTATGTTTCATTGTTCACTTTTTGCATTTTATTACAAAAGCCATTATCTTTGCACCCCCACATGCCTTACTCTGCACTCGCTCCGTAGTGAATGGAAAAACGTGTGATTAGCCTGTTTTTGTTTGCCTGTCTTACCTGCTGTTCTCAGACACTCCGTTGCGCAGCCACTAGGGGGTGTGAGTGCGCAGACTTGCACATGTTTTGACGGAGCAGGGAGTATCTTTTCTCGTCAGCCGCTGTGCCTGGTGATCTGGCCTCAAGCTGCTCCAAGTGCGCCGTCTATGGAGGGATGAACGCCCTTGTCTCTCTCGCTCACCGCTGCACACTCGTGAAACATTCATGAAAAAGCGCCGTATACTTCTCTGACCGTAATACGCCTGCTTTTGGTAAATTCAAATCAGCTGGGCATACAGACAGACAGAGCTATTGACTATGTGCTTGCAAAATATCAGTCTTTTTTTTTTTTTATTATTTGGAAAGTTTTTAGAGCAACAGTTGCAGATGCTTTTGTGATTGTAGTGTAGTAAGCACAAACTTCACAAAATTTGTTTAATTCAGAATAAACTATAAATCTGAATTTCAGAAGTCTATTTTTTTGGGTACATATTAGATGAATTGATGCAAATTTTGAGACATTCAGGAATATAATGTAAGTGAGTTAAACAATAAATAACTGGACTAAATTTTCAAGTCGATGTTTCGCTTGCAACCCGATAGCTTCTTCAGGGCTTGTGTGAGTGACTTACTTAGTACTTACTTACTTGTTTCATACATATTGATATATAAATAAGAGTGGTTACACCTAAATTGTGTTAAATAAATACCCACTGAACCATCAAACTTTGAACAGCGATAAAAATTCTGAATTCAAACATATGAAAGACGCAGCACTACCTTTTCTCTTGAGGGGTTAGTCCCCTGTTTGTCTCCATGGAGATTGTGCTTTGCCAGGAATTACTTTAAAAATAACAAGGCTGTTTATTAAATTACAGGTATTTTCATTGCATAACTTGCATTCTGTAAGTGGGGGTCCCTTCGCCACAAATCGAACATGCTGGCCTGGTGGCATCACAGCTATCTTCCAAAGACCAGTAGATCCTGTGCCAACTTTATCAGTGTTGAATCCAGCCTGAGTTAACTGCAATACTATTAAGGATCAATGAAGGTATACATGCCTGTAGGATGCCATT